TAGCGACCTCTTTTTATTATAAATAAATAAATCACGAGCCGACTCGGCTCGATAAAGTTTGAGTTGAAAGTTCGAATCAAGCTTAGATTTTTTGGTCGAACAAAAACGCGGCTCGACTCGATCCAAAAAAAGTCAAACCATTTTTACTTTGACTGAGTCAGAACTTCGAGTTTCGACTCTTGAGCAGCCTCGATTCAACTTGGTGACATCTATATAGTTATTGTCCCAATGGTCACTAAATTTATGTCTATATTTTCGATTGTTCACTGAAATTTAGGATGGTACATTTTGGCCACTAAACTTATCAAAACGTTGAATGCTACTCACTACCTTAACATCAATTCCAATTCTTTAACGAAGTTAGCGAAGTGGCTAATAGAGTATACATATAGCGCTTTGTCACGCAAATAACAAATTGTTACGTATTTAATTGCTCATCAAACTTTAAAAAATATTTTCAATTGCCCACTAAACTTTGAAAAAATCTTTGACTGCTCACCAAACTTTGAAAAATGTTTTGAATTACACACTAAACTTTTGAAGTGGTTGAATTTTGGCCAGTAAACTTACAAAAATTGACTTCGAACTATTGTTCATTAAAAAATATGTAACACAAATGCACAGGTTGCGTAAATGTAATAAATTGGAAAAACGAATTTGATTTGTTGATTTCATGAGAAATGATTACTCAATTACACAATAATTAAATTTAATTTTAATATATTTTGGCCATTTCATCATCTTAAAAAAAAAATCAAATTTATTATGTGTTTCACTGTTAAAATTAAATTAATATATTTTTGCAACGAAACACAATAAATTTAATTAAATGGATTTTTACTACGAAACACACAACAAATTTAATTAAAATTTGGATTTTCGTAATGAAACACAATTAATTTCTTAGAGGGACCAAAAGTGAACGAAATTTATTCAATTAAATTTATTGTGTGTTTGGTTATAAAATCTGAATATTAATATAATTTTTACAACAAAATATACAATAAATTTGAATTTTTCAAATGATGAAAATATCTTAAAATTCTACAAAAAAAAAAAAATGTTAAAATTAAATTTCACTATTGTGTAATTGAGTAATCATTTCTTGTGGGATGAACAATCCTAACTTGTTTGTCTACTTTATTACTTTTACGTGACCAATGCCACTGTGCTACATATTTTTGAACGAACAAAAAGTCGAAGTCATTTTTATAAGTTTAGCGACCAAAATTAGACCACCTCAAAGTTTATTGAGCAATCAAAGACATTTTCAAGATTTAGTGAGTAATCGAAAGTGTTTTTCAGAGTTGAGTAGCAATTGAATGCATTTTTCAAAGTTTTGTAAGTAATCAGAGATGTAAAAATTTGTTCATAGCATGACGGGGAGGGGTGGGTGCGGGTCGGTTCGATTTTAAAGAGAATCGAACTGAACCAAAATTTTCGGGTATCTAGTAAATAAAATCGTCGGGTCCAAATATAATTATGGAACCGTTCGGGTTCGGTTCAGTTCGGTTCGGTTCGGTTCTGTACCATAATTAAATTTTTTAATATTTATAACAACATTATATAAATACAACTAATAATAAATTCAATGATTTTGGAATGTCAGAGACTAATAGACTACCTTATTCAAATGATCGCTACGGTCAAAACTTCGATCGGAGGTTACAGCGTCGGTCAACGATTGTATAGGTTTTGGAATGTTAGCGAGGCTACGAGAGTGAGTGCGAAAATCAAGACAACGTTATGCACTTTAGTGTAGGTGTTTATGGTTATTTAGTGGATTGAATATTGTTGGGCTAAGAAATGAAACAATAAAATGGGTAATTGGGCCAAAAATTAAAAAATTAGAAATGAAACAAATTATTGGGCCAAAAATTTGGATTTAGAAATTGTTAATTTGTTTAGAAAAAATTAAAATTAAAATAATTTGATTTACTCAATATAAAAAAAATTAGAAAGATTCGGTTCTTGTTCTAGAACCGAGAACCGAACCGTACCCGTCGATTTTCAATTCAGATACCTGTTCGGGTATTTAATTTGACAAGAATCGTCGGGTTCGGTTCGAGAGATTTGCCCAGCCCTAATGACGGTCTTTGCATGTATATACAGTTAGCCACGTCACTAATTTCGTTAAAGAAATGGAATGAATGTTAAGATAGTAAGTAACGTTTCAACGTTTTAATAAATAAAATGATCAAAACTTGGTATTTTAGATTCGAGTAAACAATCTAAGATATAGACATTCGCTAAGTGACGATTGGGACAATTAGTTCACGTCCCTAAGCTTAGCCAAGCTTGACTAGAGTCTAAACCCAGTTGCCCTAATAATACACGTGGCATCACATATCTTTATAGCACAGACACCCCATGCTCCTATGGTCACAGTATACCTCTGGTAGAAATGGATAGAACCCATTTGAGGCCCTCTTTTCTCTTCTCATAGAGATAACACAGTTATCCCTCCCACTCCACACGCACTTCCTCACCCTCTCCTTCTCTAACAATACATCTACAAACTCCATTTTTGCTCTCCGATTTCTCAACATAACCGTTCATCTATGGCTTCAATTTCAGCCGCGGCAGCGGCCTCTACAAGACTTGCATACGCTTACACCCCGGCTTCTTCCTCGAGTACGTCCCTTGCTGTCAGTTCTTCAAAACCCACAAAAATTGTGTTTTCCTCTTCATTTACCCCTTCTCTATCTACCCTTTTGGTCAATCCCGCCGCCGCCCCAACCGGGCTCCACCAACGATTTACTGTCAGGGCCGCTAGGGGAAAATTCGAGCGGAAGAAACCGCATGTCAATATCGGAACCATTGGCCATGTCGACCATGGAAAGACCACTCTTACTGCTGCTCTGACTATGGCCTTGGCCTCCCTCGGAGGCTCAGCCCCCAAGAAGTATGACGAAATTGACGCCGCCCCAGAAGAACGCGCCCGTGGTATTACCATCAATACTGCCACTGTGGAATACGAGACTGAGAACCGCCACTACGCTCACGTGGATTGTCCTGGACATGCTGATTATGTTAAGAATATGATTACTGGTGCTGCCCAAATGGACGGTGCTATTTTGGTGGTTTCAGGGGCGGATGGCCCTATGCCTCAGACCAAAGAACACATTCTGCTTGCTAAACAAGTTGGGGTGCCAAATATGGTGGTCTTCTTGAACAAGCAAGACCAGGTTGATGATGAAGAGCTGCTTCAATTGGTTGAACTTGAGGTAAGGGAATTGTTGTCTTCATATGAATTTCCCGGTGATGACATTCCAATTGTTTCGGGCTCCGCTTTACTAGCTTTAGAGGCATTAATGGCGAATCCTGGGATCAAAAGGGGTGAAAACGAATGGGTTGATAAGATTTATGCATTGATGGATTCTGTTGATGAATATATTCCTATTCCTCAGAGGCAGACTGATTTACCATTCTTGATGGCTATTGAGGATGTTTTTACTATCACGGGTAGAGGTACCGTTGCTACCGGCAGGGTAGAGAGAGGGACTATTAGGATTGGGGACACTGTGGATATTGTCGGACTTAGAGAGACTAGGAATACTACTGTGACTGGTGTTGAGATGTTTCAAAAGACTTTGGACGAGGCGTTGGCTGGGGACAATGTGGGGTTGTTGTTAAGAGGCATTCAAAAGGTAGATATCCAGAGGGGGATGGTTTTGTCTAAGCCAGGGACTATTACTCCGCACACAAAGTTTATAGCCATTGTGTACGTGTTGAAGAAGGAGGAGGGTGGAAGGCATTCCCCCTTTTTTGCAGGGTACAGGCCACAGTTTTACATGAGGACAACCGATGTTACAGGGAGGGTGTCTACGATCATGAATGACAAGGATGAAGAATCGAAGATGGTGATGCCTGGCGACCGAGTGAAGATGGTGGTCGAGCTTATTATGCCAATTGCTTGTGAGCAAGGGATGAGATTCGCTATCCGAGAGGGAGGAAAGACAGTCGGTGCTGGTGTCATCCAGGAAATTGTTGAGTGAGCTGTCAAATACAGGAATCACAATGCTTCACTTGGTGATATATCCATGATTTTGTGAAATTAGTTCTCCTCTGGCTGCAAAGTCTTGAATTTAATTTCATATATGGACTTCTTTGGTAAACTTTTGTTGTGCATTAGTGTATCAGTTTAAGTTAAATATTGTCATAATTCAATGAAAGTCTCTTTCGTCTTGTTCATTGATTTTTGAGCAACTTATATAATAAGCTGAATTGTTATTTTCCTGCATTCTTGAAATAATTCTAGAATTTTCTTCTTCAAGTTTAATGATATGGTGCCTTCAGAAAAAAGCTGCGATCTTGAACTCATTTTTTCCATACTTTCATGGAGCCAATGTAGCTGTCTGAACATTGTTTTATTTTTGCTTAGTTTCACCCACTGAATTAGATGAATAACCAAGTGTATTTAAGCTATAGATTTATTTGTTTCTTTAAATGATTCTACTTATTTTAGTTAAATGAAAACTTCTTGCAGATTAGTTGGGGTGTCCTTTGGCCTGCAGTTCTTGAAATTCATCAAAACTTAACTTCCCTAAAAATATATATATATATTTATATATTTTGTAATATTTCTTTGGAATTTGTCAATTTGTTGCTAGATAGTTATCAATCTGTCATTACTTCATTGATGCTGACTGCTTGATAAAATGTTGGCCGCTGTTGAATCCCATAATGATTGGAGAAGACATCTAACCATTTCTTTGTACATAGCTGAATGAACACAGTGTTATTCATCGTACTTTGAATTTACTTTGAAGGCATGGTAATGGAACTCTGCATTTGAACTCATTGTATCATTGCAAATTACTGTTTCCAATTACTGTCTATGAAATGTGTAGGATCGATTCATTTTTCATATGCTACTAACTAGTTGCTAAGAAGCATATATTAGCTAGCGAACTTTAAAATTACTGCAGTTTGTGTTTCATCGATGGGTTCACATGTTTCAAATGCATATTTGCCTGGTTTTAATTTCAAGCCAAGTTATTGAATGTAATGCCAGTTCTGATATATATATTGTAAAAACGGGATGTTCTGTGCTAACATTAGGTGGACAGTGTCGGCCTGAGTGTTCAGGCTCGTGGCAGCTCAGCCCGACCAACTCTACCCCCCTAATAACATGCTGTATTTTACATATTTCCGGGGAGCTCAATTACCCGAGCGGGTGGACATGGTTGTATATGCGGAATGTTTAATGCCTACTAATATTGGCCTATGGTAAAAAATAAATAAATCTATGTACAAATTTTGCTACAATTTGATTTTATCTGAAAAAATGGATGGATATAGAGTCAATTCTATGGAGTCAACGAGATTGAGAAGTTATTGAAGCTTATCAAGCGTGTGTTTAGTTTTTGATTTGAGTTCTATTTTTTCAAGAGAGTAAATTTTAGCCTGAATTTGATAATTGGTTATTTCAAAACTTTTTTTTTCTACTTACTTATTTTTAATCATACATTCACACGATAAAATATTCTGCACGTAAATTTAAAACTTTTTTCTATTTTTCAGTCGCACTTTTCAAAAATTTACTATTCAAAATATTATTTTTGCCAAATAATGGCCATCAATAGTTGGGTTAATATGTTAATTCTATTCAACTAGTTTGGGGTCGATTTTAGAGCTTTTCCAATATATTATATGAATTTTTATTTAGGTTATAATTAGCACACAAATTGAAATATTTGCTACTTTTTCTTAGGCGTCTTTTTTTTTTTTTTTTTTAAAAATAAAAATAAACATTTACCATCAGAATTTTTTAAATTTTTTACAAAATAAAGCTCATGTTTGGTTTAGACAAAAATCATGTTTTCAGTAGATCTTAGTAAAGGATAGTGAAATAGATGATTTAAAATTCATGCGTTTTATAAATATATGATTAAAATTAATTAATTATTTTGACTTAAATTTAATTCAAAGTTTTTAGCTGCTTCAAATATGGGCCTCTCGCTCCATTTCTTTCGATTTCTTTCGATTTCCTTTCTAATGGAGTAATTCAAATTGCGTAAGCAAGAAAAAAAAAAGAAAAAGAAAAAGAAAAAGAATTGGGTTTGAATCGGGTCCGGGTCTCTTCAACCCGTTTTTGAAATTTGTCTAAACCCTCGAATGAACCCTTTATTGTTCGCTCGCAAATATGCCGTAGCCAACTTACAGCAGATATGAATCAAGCAAAGAGAATACTGAGTCATCTTCGTCTCGGCAACTCGCTGTACTCAACTCAATTCTCCAGAAATCATTCATTCCACACTAAGGTGATTAGCTGCTTCTCCTATTTCTCTCCCCCACTTTTCAGACAAAGCCGCGCTTCCTTTGCTACGAGTATTAATCTCAATGCGCACGATAAAAAACTCTTCTTTTCATCAAAACCTGATTCGGTTTTAGAGCTTTTGTTGTCCAGTGACTGGTCGAAGGAACTAGAAAAAGAGTTGACAAAATCAAATTTATCGCTGACCCATGAAACTGTTATGTATGTTTTGAAGAAATTGGACAAAGACCCAAAAAAAGCTTCAAAATTTTTCAAATGGGGTGTTGAGAAAAATGGGTTTGAACCCAGTTCTTCTATGTATAGCTTGATGCTAAGAATTTATGCTAATAAGGATTTTTTGACGGAATTTTGGGTCACAATTAAAGAAATGAAAGAGAAAGGGTATTATATTGATGAGGAAACATATAAGACTATTTCTGGGATTTTTCGGAATTTAAAGATGGAAAATGAGGCCACTGCTTTGAGACATTTTTATGAAAGGATGATCAAAGAGAATGCTATGGATGATTTGGCAAAAGAGGTGGTTGAAGCAGTTAAAAGTGCAGAGTGGGGAGAAGAGGTGGTTGCTTGTACTAATATTGCTTTGGAATTTGTCAATTTGTTGCTAGATAGTTATCAATCTGTCATTACTTCATTGATGCTGACTGCTTGATAAAATGTTGGCCGCTGTTGAATCCCATAATGATTGGAGAAGACATCTAACCATTTCTTTGTACATAGCTGAATGAACACAGTGTTATTCATCGTACTTTGAATTTACTTTGAAGGCATGGTAATGGAACTCTGCATTTGAACTCATTGTATCATTGCAAATTACTGTTTCCAATTACTGTCTATGAAATGTGTAGGATCGATTCATTTTTCATATGCTACTAACTAGTTGCTAAGAAGCATATATTAGCTAGCGAACTTTAAAATTACTGCAGTTTGTGTTTCATCGATGGGTTCACATGTTTCAAATGCATATTTGCCTGGTTTTAATTTCAAGCCAAGTTATTGAATGTAATGCCAGTTCTGATATATATATTGTAAAAACGGGATGTTCTGTGCTAACATTAGGTGGACAGTGTCGGCCTGAGTGTTCAGGCTCGTGGCAGCTCAGCCCGACCAACTCTACCCCCCCTAATAACATGCTGTATTTTACATATTTCCGGGGAGCTCAATTACCCGAGCGGGTGGACATGGTTGTATAAGCGGAATGTTTAATGCCTACTAATATTGGCCTATGGTAAAAAATAAATAAATCTATGTACAAATTTTGCTACAATTTGATTTTATCTGAAAAAATGGATGGATATAGAGTCAATTCTATGGAGTCAACGAGATTGAGAAGTTATTGAAGCTTATCAAGCGTGTGTTTAGTTTTTGATTTGAGTTCTATTTTTTCAAGAGAGTAAATTTTAGCCTGAATTTGATAATTGGTTATTTCAAAACTTTTTTTTTCTACTTACTTATTTTTAATCATACATTCACACGATAAAATATTCTGCACGTAAATTTAAAACTTTTTTCTATTTTTCAGTCGCACTTTTCAAAAATTTACTATTCAAAATATTATTTTTGCCAAATAATGGCCATCAATAGTTGGGTTAATATGTTAATTCTATTCAACTAGTTTGGGGTCGATTTTAGAGCTTTTCCAATATATTATATGAATTTTTATTTAGGTTATAATTAGCACACAAATTGAAATATTTGCTACTTTTTCTTAGGCGTCTTTTTTTTTTTTTTTTTAAAAATAAAAATAAACATTTACCATCAGAATTTTTTAAATTTTATACAAGAAGAGGAGCAAAGATTTTCTGCTTGTGCATACGACTCATACAAAACAGCTCATTGGAGTCGAGCTTTACACTTGGGAGCCATTGTGCCCTTCCTTTAATGGGAGAAAGAAGTGAAAAATCCTGTTATTCAACTATAATTGCAACCTTAACTGCTTTATAGTTTTATATATTATTGGTGGAATACTTTTTATTGGTTCTTGAAGTACTGGCGTTTGACACGTGTGACTATCATTTTCCCAACATGGATTTTGTTGATGCAATCTCAAACATTTTAAGAATTAAATTATCAATGAGCTTTGACATTTATTTGATCATATTTGTGTCCAAAGGAAATTTTCTACGAGTTTCAAGTTATTGTCAATTTGAAAATCCAATAAAACTGGTAAGGGAAGTAGTGGGTGTATTCCTTCATATCAATGCCATAATGTATAGAATTCAACAATGCCACACATAGAAACAGGACATATATAAACACCACTTGACAAGTAATGCACAATGCTAAAGTTCACCAAGATTCAGAAAGGGGACTACACCAAGAAACTAGGATTCAAAAGTTAACTTACCAAAATAAGTTCCGACCCTCTTTAACTTATTGACAGCAACAACTACTTGTATGTTTATTAGGATCTTGATCTTTTTCTGAACTGCCTCTCTCCAGTAATAAGATCCATGACTACACGCTCGATACTTCCATTATTCTTCTTCAGCAGTTTCTTGTTCATTTCTGTGTCCTGGAAATCCTGCATCATCGGCCAAATTTGTAAATATTTGTAAGAATTCACGGTCATAAGCAAAAATGAAATGGTAGAAAGAAACAGAGGATAGTTATAGTACATTGTGGGCGTGTTTTTTTACTATATTGGACAGTGTTGGACAAAATAATAGACAAGATTTAAACTTGTTTTTATTCTTTAATTCAGTCGTGTCCGTTTCACCATAACAAAGATGTCATATTTTTAAAATAGAAACTAGAAACAAACCATCTCCTGCAGCTCCACCAGAATAGGATCCCATTCAGAAACTGCACAAAGATCATCCACGGATTGCTCCATGTCATATTCATTAGTCCTCAAGACCTCATTGTTCAAATCGACCTGTTTGAAACCATATCCTCAAGTTCCCTGAGGACTTTTTCCTTGACTTCATTCTTTTCCGCAACTCCTTGAGCAGATGC